AGGGCTTCCCGCCCGCCGTGGAGGAGGCGCTGTGCGGCCTCACCGGCGCCCTGCTCGAGCTCTCCTACTGCCTCCAGGCGCTGGTAAGCGGCACCGCCGGGGCCGCCCGCGGAGAGGCGCCCAGCAGGGGCCCCGCCGCCGCCTCTTCCTCTGCGCGGGGGGCTGCTTGGGGCTCTGCTTCGCTTTACTCCGCGCTCCATAAAGCAGTGTGTGGGGTACCCGGCGGGAGGGCTGTGGGGGAGCACCTCATCCCTGCGGAATCCCTGCTCCTTGCTTGGCGCGCTCCTGATCCGCAGGAAGGACCCTCGTGTGCATTTAGAAAGACAGCGCAAAACCCAGTGTGAAACTTAACGCCTCTGGCTGCTTGTCAGGTACTTGCAGTATATATTTAATAGCAAAAACACTAAAACTGAGAAACAGGATTTTCGGGGCCAGCACCTGTTGAGAGGCAGGGCAAGCAGAGCTCAAGTGGATCACCAAGCCCCCCTGATCAAGACCAGCATGTGGCATTAGTCCAAGAAAAAGCTAAGTGTGCAGTGAAACCTCAACCTGTTCAGTGTGTGGATTAAAATACTGCTATGGTAGTTGGGCTATTGACTAGAAATTGACTGTGGCCATCTTAAAAGCAGATAATGACTTAAAAGACCTACCTCCGGAGTTATGTAGGTGTGATAACTTGGCTCCTAGCAGTCCTGCAGCACTCTCACCATTAGGGACCAGCTGTAAGACATTCAATCTCTATTTTCCTGTCAATAGAAATATGAATTAATGATTCTAGGGGAGGAAAAAAACTATGCAAATTACACGGAATATTCTCAGGGGACATTGCACTGTGTACTTTCTTTTGAACAGGATGAAGTTGTGTGTGTGTGTGTGTCACTGGCTTGGGGTATCCCAGATGGTCATCAAAACATGAAACACAAACACATCATACTATGTATATAACCTCTTTAAAAAAAAAAAAAAAAAGAAAGAAAGAAAAAAAAAAGATCGGCAACATAGGTGAAATATAGGTTTTTTTACTAGTTCACAATAATAAATGAAGGAAAGGAAGGCAGAAGTAGACAAAATCATGAGATGCACATGCTTGTTCTTTCCCCCCTTCTGGACAGAATACAGGCCAGCAGTTTAATGAAACTCAGTACTCTGGAGGCAAATAAGCCTTCTGAGAAGGCAAAGGCTGTGCTGCAGCTGTGTGCTGGGGGAGCCTGTGCATTGGTATTTTTGCAGCTCTGTCAGTTCTAAGCATATTCCCCACTGCTGCCTCTCACTGCCTGTAATATCAAAATTGTGCAGAGCCCATGCTGAACCTCTCTCTGCAACCCAGGGGCCTCCCAGTGCTGTCTCTCCAGCATCTTCTCTTTATTCTGTTTTCTGCAGTGTGGGCAGGAGTTAGGTGTCAGCCTGCCATGCCATGCATAAAATTCCTCCAGCAGAAGAGCTAACAGATCTACTAGCATAGTTAATTTCACATTGATGAAAGCTACTTTTCTATATAGAAAACCAGAACAAGGCCTACAAAGTCCTCTTGGGCATGAGCTATGTCCTAAATGCACATCTCCTAAGTGGTACCTTGCTAGTCTCTCTCTCCTAATGAGAGAGAACATCAACAATAGTCACCTGCTTTAAAAGGCAGAAAGTGTTCTAGTAAAAGTATAGTTTTTCTTTTTTTAATTTATAATGACTTCATTTACTGCAGAAGTTTGAAGGACTAGAATCTGCAAAATGATTAAGCTGGTAGAGCAAGCTCCTTTGGCAATGGCTCCTGAGCTCTGACTGCAGCTGTGTTGGGCTGCAAGCATATCCCATCTTCAGCAAGCTTTAATTCTCTGGTTGAATTTTATTTGCTTAGGGTGAATTTTTTGATCAGTCACATGTGGCCCTACCAAATGTTTCCAAGTTCTTTCTGCATCAAGCTACGGAGGAGAGAGAAGCTGCAGAAGCTTTGATGAAGTATCAGCAAGAAAGAGGAGGCCACTATTGTTCTAAAACCATCCAGGTGTGTAGTAAGTCACTTCCAGTCTCTGGCAACCAGTAGTAATTACTCTAAAATCCTGCATTATATTGTTAATACCTCAGATTTCTGCATTAGGTGCCCATTAGATTTCTGGGTATAATTTTTCTATTATATTGGTATACATGCTTTGGTTCTTGATTACTACTCCTAGGAACTATCAGACATGCAATCCTAACTCTATATGATTGCAGTTCTTGCCAGAAAGGATATGAACAATGGTGTCTTTTTCTTCCACTCAGCTGGAGACTGCTGTTTCCAGTGTGCTGTAATGGATTATGTGAGTCCTCTTAAACTGTTTCAGTGCTAAATCAGCCAACTTGTCTGCCTTCCCACTGAAACAAAATAGAAGTCACTGGCATCTGAGAAAGGGGTACGGAAGGAGGAGGGAGAAACATCCAGCTGGGAGCAGTAGCTCATCTGTTAGAATGTAGCCAAAGACAAAATTTGAACTAGAGATTTGACTCAGGCTTGCAGGTATGAGGGGGGAAACTCATTTATCAGTTTAAAAAAAAAAATCCGTTGTAGAAGATTATGGGACTGATTCTCCTCTGGCAAACTAGTATTACATAAATAATTGAATATATCAGCTTGCTGTTTCTTGGTGTATCACAGCATTTGTTGATCTGAGAAAAGTAAAAATTAAAAAATATCTATCTGGAGTAGCTTTTGTAAATATTCGGTTTGCATTTATAAGGATAGGTTTTCTGGTTTAAGAATGTTTATCAGTCATAGCTGCTGCTTTCTAAATCTTGTTCCTTAACAAGGATTCATGCATTCTGCCACTTCTGTATGTTTACAGCCATTTACCTCAGCAAAAAGCAACAGATGCTCCAAACTGAAGGTGCTGTTGCAAAATCCTAGCATATTTTTAGTAGATCAGTTAAGTTACTGGAAAGCAGCAATGAACATGGTAAGATGAGCTGCTGCTCTGAGTAAGTACTCTTTCTTTTTATTTCTAGAAACCAAGCTGTGAGTATGCAGTCAGTCTGATGAAAGCCCTGGAACTTGCAATGCTCCAGTGGAAAACTATGACACGGTATTTTGAAGAGCTTTATGCGCTGAGCCTGGAAAATGCAGACCCGCACAGTGCGAGCACTATCAAGAAGCAATTCATTGGGCCCAAAATCCGGAAGGTCAAGCTGATGGGAGATCTTCTTGCCAATGCTCGCAGGCTTGACTGTTCCCAAGATGGCAGAAACAGTCTTGGGGATTACTTCATGGACCGCTTCCAGAAAGAGTTAAGAACAGGCATAGATCCAGAGCCTAGTAAGCGGTGTAGCCCCTGCCCACCTCTCCAGCAATGCACAGGAGCTGCAGAGGCTCTGAAGCGCCCCCAGAGAGAATTCTCCCAGCACAGGAACGGCATAGGGCCAATATATGCAACCGTGTATTGCACTGCCTCAGTGCCACAGTGCAATGATGGGACAGGAGCAAAAGTGAAGCAGGGCAGGGAGGGACTCTAACGCTATGGCTGTTGGAGCTATGGAGCAACTCCTAGGGCTCATCTCTATAGAGGATGACCCTTAGACCAGCACTCGGGAGAGACCCTGGGTTACTCCTGTACCACTCTTTTTTACACTTGTCCCTCATCCTCTGATGAGCCACAACTCCAAGTCTAGCCCATAAAATTGTTTAAATCGTAGTGAGATTGCTAGTTACCCAGATGGTTTGCATTAATCGTATTCTTATCTATGCAATTCTTACCCTAGAGGATGCCCCAGTGTAGAAACTAAAAGCCTTTAGGCCTCTCTTCTGACTTAAATGATTGTTAATATTAGTTTAGTTAGATTGTTAATGCCAAATATTTTTAAGGGTGTATACAACTCTTACAAAAATGCTTTAGTACAAGGTAACTTTTATATGGGAGAAAATCCAAAGAATAAGTTTTATGTTAAATATTTTACATTAGTATGATAACATTATGAATTTTTAAAAGACTTCTTTTAAAGCAAGATGAATTTCTTGTCTGCTTTCTATCATAGTAGCAACTTAAATAGTTGATTTATTTACTTATAAACTAGCTTTTTTTTTTTTTGTATGCTCCTTCACTAGGAAGGATACTAACTTTCTCGAGGTGGGAACAAGACAAAAGTACTGTATTTCATTGCAGTTACTTACCTAATTGCCTTTTCTAATAATCAAAAAGAGGATGAGCTATAAATTAGGGGTTCTCAGCTGTGGCCTTCACAGTTTCTATTTTACAAATACTGTCCTCAAAGGCCCTAGCTCTAGGGCTTTGTCCAGATATAGCCTAGGACAGTTACCTTAATTACCACACAAATGCTGTTTGGGCTACATACAGTATGGGATTACTGTGGTACTAGTGCCAGTTCTCTGTACTCCCTGTCTTGGCCCCACATGGATGAGTAACATCCTAGGGAAAGTCCAGCACAATTGGCTAAAATTGCATTACAAAAAGTGGCCTCCTGTGAATTTTGCATTTCAATGAAGGGGGACATTCACATGTTTACCCTCACAGCCCTCACTTTAGCCATCTGGGTTAAAGTTCAGAGGAGTCTAAATTCCTTGGATACAGCCCCTGCAGGAGTTCTTCTCTCTATCCTGACTTACAAGGTCACCTAGGAAGAACAACTGGCTAAGTCAGCTGCCTGAAACTAGGTTCCTAAGCCAGTATGTACCACAGCTTTTAGGCAAGTGCAGTGTGCTCCAGTGAAAGATCAACACAAACCCTTATGTAATACTGTAATCAATATTCTGATTGATAAATTTGAAAATAAATTCAGTTCAACATAAAAAGCATCTCCATTCTATTTAATTTGCCATACACGCATGCTAATACTTTTCTCCAAGAGATTTTGCATATGTACATAAACTGCACTGCTATCAAAAAACTTGCACAAGACAGAAATGAAGATAAACATGGCAGAAAACTGCATTAAGGCAAACACCCTGCACACTGAAACACTTGAAGTCACTTTGTATTCTACACATAGCTGCATTTAAGTACTGATTTCTGTGCAACTGCATTAGCCCACCTACTTTCTGTAGGTTTTGTAACTCAGGACATGCAAGTAAAATTCAGATGCTTTCCCAATCCCTTTCTGTTAATGATTCAACTTTATTAGTGTGGGTGTGGATGGAGGAAATGGCATTGAAGCTTTCCCTATATACTCCCAAAAAATAAACTGCACTGTGCCATAAGAATAGTTTGAAGCATTTCTAGCGACATCCTGGATTTGCTTGTATTTTGGATGACTGGAGTAGTTTAAAAGTTATTTCCATCTGGGCTAGGTTCCAACACTCATCCTCATGCTGACCATACCTTATTCAACAATTAGTTCCACTGACTCTAACTCAATGTGAATAAGAGCAATGGAATCCACCCTTGGTATTAAAATATAGCTCATTTAGCCTGAATGGAACAAAAACCTTGGCAAATAATAAACTAATGCACTACATTAAAAAAAAAAAAAAAAACCTTCAATTCCTACAACAGTCTTGTATGCTGGTAGTTTTTAACCTTCTGAAATGTAGAATATCTTCCACAGTTTCCTGTGTGTAGGCTGTTTCTCTCTTTACCTAACAGAAATCCAACACAACAGAGTCCAACATTTAAACTTTACAATGCAAGACTTACTTGTCATGTTTTTCTGTCTGGAATACTGCCAAGTGTGTTTCTCAGAGAACCACTCTTCTCATCTTCATGGCCAAAGTCATCAACCATTAAAGTTTTCAGAATTTTAAGTAATTTCTCATGTTTCCAAAGCACCTTCTGGGCCCTCCACCTAGAGAAATAATTCTGTTATTTTCAGGTAGAGAAACTCACAATCAATTACACTACCAATCCTTATCTTCTCAAAAGGAAAATTAAATCAGTTAGTATAGATGACTGTAAGTTCTTGTCCAGATGCTGCTTCTGGTGAGGGTGTGACCTCTGAGGCTTTGTTACCTGTAACATCATGTATAGGACGAGTGTGCCAATCTGCTCTACAGCGTATGAAGCACAATCTGCTTCCCCTCTCAGCCTCCTTTCAACCACGCCCTGAAAAAAGATGAAGGATGCAATGTGTAATAGGCATATGGCATCATTTAATACAATTCAGAATTTGCTTCCTCTGCTGACTGCTTGCTCGTGCACCTTCCCCAGCATGTGTAAATCCAAAGCAATGCCCAGTCCATACGGACCCAGCATCTGTGAGGCTAAGGGCAAAGAAACATCAGTATCAAAATACAGCATCCAATTTGAATGATGCAGAAAGACCTGATCTCTACTGAAATGATCAGTAAAATAGCCAGGGTGGCTTTTAGACAGACACTAAGAGTGGCATATTTCTAAATGCTGCCATGAGCACTGCCTAGGGTCACAAAGAAAGCACCCTAGTTGCTGTCTAGTCTCAAAATGAGGAGAGGAGTCAAAAATCTCTGTCCTGCATCCTTTCCACTATGGTTACCCCAAGTTGAAAAGAACATCTGAGGATTTTCAATCTTTGTGAAGACTCTCTCAGATTAAAAACAATGCAACATCTTTCTGGACAAGCCCATTTTTGAGAAGCACACTGGAAGTGAATGCTAGTTTTAGTGGCAATAGCGGGGACCAGTCATCCAAGAACACTCCATGGGAAGTTCACCATGGCACTCCCCTGACTTTTTCACCTAGGTGACAAACTGAGACATTGCTTTCACTAACTCATGCCCTGGACATACATGTGCAGCCACAGGTTGATAGAAAAAAATCTTTAGAGCGTGAAAGCAGTAAGCTGCATTGCACTGGCAATTACCTGAAACGCTCTTGTGTCACTTGTTCAAGTCCCAGCACTTGTTACTGCTTTGCCCAAGGTAACCACTATTTGCACAAGTCAAATATAACCTAGAAACACACTTAAAGGGGCAGAATATGTTACAACACTGTGTAAAAATCACGTACAGTTACCACAAATGAAACAACTAAGTTACAGAGAGACCAAACGTCTTCATCCAAGTAACATGCCAGCATCAAAACCAAGCCTCGATCTCCCAATTTACACGTATACCTGTTATAGCACACAATTATTTCTCCTTCAGAAAACTGCATTATTTTCAATACAAATAGTTTTTAATGTTATTTTAGCTGTTCAAGAGGTAGTTTTTCGAAACAGAAAAGTCTGTTCATTCCTTCTGGATCAAAGGACCTCTGTAATAACAAGAGTGTTTCCACTAGTTGCTACTCTGCCTCTCAGAAACAGCTGGGAGATACACGTCTAAATGTGTTAGGGTGGTCAATAGCGGGTCTCCTTGGGACGTATCACTTTTCAGCACTGGATACAGTGAAAGAACAAAGTTGTACGCAGTCCAAAATACCTACTTTCTTCTTTAAACAAAAACCTGATCTTTTGGGAGTAATGACAGAAGGTGACTAATAGTTGTTATCTTTGTCTGCATTGGAAGACGTGCAAGTAAGCAGAAAACGGGCACTGCAAATTAGGAACTCCTGCAAAAACCCAACTGTGTAACTACCAAAGCGCCCACGTGACAATAACCCACCCAAAGAGTCGCAGGAACCAAAGACTAGGACATCGACTGGTACGTTACCCTTACCGAGTCTCTCAATCCACCCTTTACCTCACTGAACACAGAGCTTTTCGATTTTAAATGAGACAGACTTCTACCAGCATGTGTAACTGCAGAGAGGAGATTAATTTCAGCTCGTGGCAGACAAAAATACCCCTACTTTAATCATTAAGTTAATGAAGTCACACAGCAGTGCTGCTGAACGTTTCTGTATCCCCCCCACAAAAAAAAAGTTAAATTTCTCAGCTCAGATGATATTCCAAAAACAGAGTAAATAAATACTCTACTAAAATTAAGAGGTATTGAAAAAAAAAAAAAAAGGAACACCAAAGCCTCCGAAGCCCCAGCTCTGCTGGTTACCTGACACAGCCAGTCCTCGCTGCCCAGACAACCCCGTTACAAGGGGATCACGAGC